AACTGAAAATGAGACATACACTAATGCACAATTCATCATCTCATATAAAGTAAGCACTGTGCTTCAAGAAAATAACAAAAAAAAGAATAAATCAGCAGATTCTCAAACGAATATTCAATTGAAAAAAAACACCAACCCGAAAAGATTATGAATGTAGGTCGTTCCTTGATAATAGACTCGCCATAATCGACAATATTCACTCAACAAATCAGGCTCGGAAGTCGAGCTTATCACCTAAGACATTGAAATCACTCACTGAATTGCAAAAACTTGATGAAAATAAAACTTATAAGGCAGTCAATTCGATCAAGGCAATTCGAAATTGTTGCCAATGAATTTCTAAGCAGATAGATGAGCAAATGAATTCTCGATTAGTCTGACAAAATCAGGAGATAAGTGAAATATGAGGGATAGAACGTGACTAACTGGTCGAGAGAGTACGAAATAATAAGATGATAAAACGAACCTGATAAAGACCAGTTACATGCTGCTCTAGGCAAGCTTTTGTTTTTTCGTAGAGCTTATCACTGAGTGGTTCCGGTATGGCCACACATAACGAATAAATATCACTGAAATACAGTTTCATTGGACTAATATGAAAACAAAGAAAAACATTTATATAAACGGATTCAAAATATTAGAATGAACGGATCGCTTATACCTTAAATAAATTTGGTTTTGAAGTATGTTTATTACAGTGATAATTTCAACTGTTATCAAAGAAAAGAATTGAAACTGACGAGAAATTATAATCCCAAACACGACGTTCGAGAGGTTGTAAGTTTATGATCTTCTTAATCGATGATTCGATATTGCACCATGTTTCATCAAAGTCGACTTGCTTGGGACGCAAAGAGTACATTGTGTCCGGGCCGACCTGAAAAATGAATCGTAGTTTTTCGAGGAGTACAACTCTATGAAACAAATCATACAAAAATCTCATTCGCGGTCGATTTAATAATGCAATAACGATAACATTCCGCATAAAAACACTCATTCCTCAAGGAGTTGAACAATAAAATTGATTCATACTTCAGAGTTGGAACAAACACGCAATTTTCACA